CCCCCCCCGTACTTCTTGAATCTCGCCATTCACATCAGAAAGGCTCTGCCTTCCCCTTTCATGGGCCCAAAACACTCTCTCCCTTTGTATGAAGGCCTGTCTGGCACATTCAGTAATAAGCAGACAGCCAAAGTAGGCATTCAGCAGAGAGTGGGCAAGCAGTACGTGCTGACATTCTTGGAAGCCTTTCAAAGGCTCCGTAGATTTCATTTATTGGCGTTAGTCATGTTTTGCAGTATGATGGCAGCCATCACCACATGCCTGCCCCTTCCCAGCACACAGAGGAGTCGGGATGCTATAAATTCATCACAAGCACTTGGAAAACTAAAAGTGATCTCTCTGGTGCTTCACTAAAGTGTCTGGATACACTTGAGTCACTGGGATGATGATCATTTGTGGGAGGAGGAACTGCCTATTGGGTGGAGCATGTTTAGGACTTTACATTTTCATGGAATTTTTGGCAGTTGTTTGGATTTCTGCGCCGCCCCCCTGCTTCTCTAGAAACATGGACTTGATCTCTTAGCCCCGTGCTTTTCATTCCTTTAGAACTGACATACATTAATCATCTCCCCCTGTACTCTGCCCCACAACCACAGTCTTGGGCTGTGCGCTAGGCCTCCTCTCTGGGAGCGGGGGGTGGGGGGCGCTGCATTATGCAAGGCAGCTCCCCTCCCCGTCACTACCTGGGAGGGGGTCCTATTCTTACTGTTAATCTTCTTAGTGCAACTACTTAACCTAAGAAAAGGAGATCAAGCCATAGAGGTGAGTACCCAGGGAGCCTGAGGATGCTTTTTTAAGAATAAGATTGAATTTCTTGTTCTTGACAGTTTTGAGATCCAAGAAGTCTATAATGTAGACAGGTGAGCAGTAAGGGAAGCTCAAGGGAAACTAGGTGAAGGTTTTACTTGGTATTTATATGCTCGGAAGCTTTAGGGTTTTTCCTAACAAAAATACACATACATAAAGATAAAATCATGCAGCATCCTATCCTGGCTTGAGGAACCACTTAAGGATGTGTCATAATCCTAAAATCTGTTTCTCTTCTTCCATTTTTTGAGTGTTGTGTAACTTAAAGAAAAGTCATAGAGTTACGGATAAGATTCTGGTCCTTTGTACCAAAGTAATCTGAGGGAGATCACTCCACCAGAATTGTATTGTGATTACGGAGTAGGGAGAGAGCCGAGCACTTTGGTCTCTGTCCCTTTTGCTGGGGCCTTATTCAATGATTGGGAATGGCTGGTAAAAAAGCCCAAGATGAAATCAGAAGTGATAGAGTTAGGGCCAGTTCTATGGAAGCTGAGGGGGGGTAACTGTACGATTCTAGTGGCTACGAAGAAGGGAAAGAAAAGAAACAGAAAATAGTAGAAAGGCAAAGGACTACAGACCTAATCAGTACAAATAAGCTGGAGGCAGTGGAGTTGGGTCGGTGCCATGGGACTCCATGGAGCACTGAAGTGGGGCACTGGACCGTGCTTGATGCGAGGCGGCTAGAAATCCCCATGTGAGAGTCATTCTGGATGTTCTTCATCTCCTGACCCCCTCACCTTCCCACCACCTGGGAAGCAGCATGCTAATGCTTCAGATGTGCCCCAAGAGCTGTTTCTCTGCGAAAACTTTCAGAGACTGTTGTCCTCGCTAACTAACCCAAGGTGAGTCATCCTGACGGGTTGTCCATGATTCCCCAGCAGTCCTCCCTGCTGCCCACAGAGGTGAGACTTTAGGACGAGAGCTTGCTTGGCATGACCGTTGGTGGCATGCACCCAAGTGCTAGGCTGACACCTCACACAGTGACAGATATTCTCAGCCTTGGCTGAACAGGAGTGAGCGATTTAATATCTGTGCAAGCTACACAGATATTAAATCTCTCCCTCTCCCATACGGAAGGTTACGTGCACTTCCAGAGACCTTTAGAGAACACCAGACCCAACCTCCTTATTTTACAGAAAAAGAAACAAGTCTGGGGAGGCCAGTTCATCATTTGCCCAAAGCCACACTGTTGGTGTCAAAGATGGGAATGGGACTATGGTCTCTTTGTTCAGTTCTCTTTCCACAACTCTAAGCCACACAGTGTCTTCCTAACTGGGCTCAACTCCATTATATAGCAAAGTTCTGAAGATGACAATTCTTGTCATGTCTATAGAATAGATTATTTCTTTTTGTGCCTTAACTTCCTCATTGGTAAAATGAGGAAGGTTTACTGTGAGGATGAAATGAGTTAACCCAAGTCAAGTACCTTAACACTGCTGGAGGCTTAGGAAGCTATTGTGACAACTTATTTAATTTGCTGGATGGCACTTTGGCCTTAGGCTCCCTCCCAACTCAGACTCCAGTCAGTTCTCTGTCAAGGGTTGGGTCCTGTTCTAAATTATGCTACCATAGCTGATATTTCTCTTGCTCACAACTATATATCAGGAGAACTGTATCTTGCAGTATTTCTCTGAATTAATAATGAGTTGTGGTCACTGTAACCTCTTATGGAATATTTGCCTGCAAAGAGCAATAATGAAACTATTGATTGCCCTCAAGAGACCGAGACAAAATATTATTATTACTACTACTACTCTGATTACTCCTGAATGAATTATGGATATATCTCTTTAGATTTCAGCAGAGCCCAAGCCATCAGAAAGTGGGGAAAAAATGGGTGAGGAACTTGGCTTTTGAAAACGCTTGGTGCTTTGGGGGCAAGAGTTCATTCGAGAAGATAACAGCAAAATTAACGTCAGCCAGAACACAAACCATCTCATTCATAAGTCAAGCAGAGAAAGTCAATTATCATATGGTTTCACTTATTTGTGGAACATAAGGAATAGCATGGAGGACATTAGGAGAAGGAAGGGAAAAATGAAGGGGGGTGGGAATCGGAGGGGGAGACAAACCATGAGAGACTATGGACTCCGAGAAACAAACTGAGGGTTTTAGAGGGCAGGGAGCGGGGTGGGGGGATGGGTGAGCCCGGTGATGGGTATTAAGGAGGGCACATACGGCATGGAGCAGTGTTATACGCAAACAATGGGTGTTATACGCAAACAATGAATCATGAATCACTACATCAAAAACTAATGATATATTGTACGGTGACTAACATAACATAATAAAATAAAATAAAATAACCCCCAAAAAACAAGAGTGCATGGAGTTGATAAGCAGATCAAGAGTTAATTTGTCTGGCTAGAAGAGGGTGGAGGGACCTCCTCCTTCAGGGTGGGAGGTGTGATGCCTTAAGGCCACAAAGTCAGAAGGGTGATTATCTGAATATCTTAGAAAAACCCAGGAGAAGGGGTTTGTCTATTCAAGATCTCCTCTTTGTCCCACCCGCCCCAGGATATTTATCTCTAGGGCAGGAAAGGTCAACAGAGAAACAAATCTAGGAGAGATAAGAGAGCTCTGTCGTTCTATAGCCAGTTGGATGGTTAGCCTCAGGAGGGTGGCAGTTAGAAATGCAACTAGGGCTTGGCAGAGCGCCAGAACAGTTGGGGCACAGAAGTTGAAAGCCAGAGGAACTTCAATTACACTCAGGCTCCTTTACCTTACAAATGAGAAAAAATGAGGCTCGAGGGGTTAATGATTTGCCAAGCCACCTGGCAAGAAGGTCACAGAGCTGGGGCAAGAATTCAGGGTCTCCAGCTCCAGAATTGGGATAGTATTCAACAAAGTCAAATGCATGTGCTACCAAAGCTGTGGTTCTAGTTAGGATTGGAAATCAGCATTTAGAGTTATAAATTCTCTTTTAGGGAACCCTAACTCTAGTAGCCTCTAGCATTGATCCCCCCACCTCAGTCTTTCTTGAAGCTCTCTTTTGGCTCCCATGATTCCACCTCTGGTTTCTTCTTTCTATTCTCATGACTACTCATCTACCTTCTTCTTCACAGACTAATCATGTTCCAAAGGGATCCCTCTGTTCTTTGCTCGTCTTTACATGCTCAGTCTCTCTAGAGGAAATCTTATCCCACCAATGGCATCTAAACACACCAGATAACAGATCCATAGCTCCAGCCTAGAAGTTTCTTCCGCATATGGTCCCATATCTCCAACTGGCTAATGGGTATCTTCACCGCTAACTCAACAAGTTTACACTTGTTGAGTGTGAAAACCCCTTTCTCCTGCTTTATCTCTCTTAGTTCACAGCACGCATGAAGATAGGAGGCTCAGAGGTTTGCTGAGTCTCTTCACAATCTGGAACCCAATCAGCTTGGCCCCCGTCTTC